AAGTCAACAAACAATAAGTGCTAGTGAAAATGTGTATAAAAGGAAACTTTAGCCCTAGCTGGTTTGGCTCAGTGGATAGAGCGTCGGCCTGCGGAGTGAAGGGTCCTGGGTTCAATTCCAGCCAAGGGTACATGCCTGGGTTTCGGGCTGGATCCCCAGTGGGTGGCAGTGCAGGACACAGCTGATCAATGATTCTCATCATTCATGTTTCTATCTCTCTTTCTCTCTTCCTCTCTCCCTCTCCCTTCCTCTCTCAAAAATATATTTTAAAAAATGTTTTTATTTATTTTAGAGGGGCACGTGCAGGAGGCAACCAATCAGTGTGTCTCTCTCTTATTGATGCTTCTCTCTGTCTTTCCCTCTCTCTAAAAATCAATGGGAAAATAGTAGAGAGAGAGAGAGAGAGGGAGGGAGGACACAGTTTCCTCCTTTGTGGCCCAGCTGACCGACCAGGGACCGGCGTGTAGTGGAAAGAGCGAGGGGCGGAGCCCAGAAGGGCCGGGCCACCAGCACAAAGGCACCCGGCCCCTCCCTGGGCGGCAGGGCCGGATGCTCCGTGGAAGGGAGCGGGCTGGCCCTGGCCCTCGGTGCTGACAGAGGCCATTGGGGGTGGGGGGGAGGCTCCTCAATGGCGGGGATTCTTTTCTATTTCCAGCCGGGGTCTCAGAGGCCCCCTTTGTCCCTCAGACAAGCAGCCCCAGTTGGGCCCAGGGCGGCCACTGCCCGCCATCCGACTCTGCAGGAAGTGGCCGCCCCGACCCATCGCCCAGGGCTGCATTCTCCTTTCAGAGTCGCTGAGCGAGAGGAGGAGGATTTATAAAGGAAGAGAGGCCGGTGTGGCTCAGTGGTTGAGCATCGACCTAGGAACCAGGAGGTCACGGTTCGATTCCCGGTCAGGGCACAGGCCCGGTTTGTGGGTTCTATCCCCAGTGTAGGGCGTGCAGGAGGCAGCCGATCCATGACTCTCTCATCATGGATGTTTCTCTCTCCCTCTCCCTTCCTTTCTGAAATCAATAAAAATATATTAAACCCCCCCACACACACAAAAACCTGTATTTGCACCCCGGCCAGTTTGCTCAGTGGTTAGAGCGTCGGCTCACAGACAGAAGGGTCTCGGGTTCGATTCCCAGTCAAGGGCACGTACCGGGGTTGTGAGTTCGTGCCCCGTGTCCGGTGGTGGGAGGCAACCAATTGCTTTATCTCTGTCACCTCAATGTTTCTTTCTCTCTCTAAAGATAAATGGGAAAAAATATCCTCACTCCTTGGGTGAGGATTAAAAAAGGGGGCGGGCAAGAAGGCAGTTGGGGCTCATCAGAGAGCCCTGACTGCAGATCTAAATTCTGCAATGTTGGCATCCTTCCTTTAAGACAGAACGAGAGTCCCTGCATCCTCCCCTGTGGTCCCCGCTCCCCACGGTGACACTGACACTGAGGACAGGACGGGCGGGGAGGGGTGCCCGGGGCTCCGAGTCCACACAGGCCTTGCAGACGGGTGAGCTCACCACCTGCCACGGGGGGACAGAACCGTGTGTGAAAAGCCAGTTTGGCAGCTGAGCCCAGAGACCGGCTGTCTTCGCAGGAAGAGCCACGCTGACTCGGGAGGGAGCTGCCCTCGCTCGGATTCGGGGCCAGCATGAGGGCCAGGGAGGGAGGGAGGAGGGCTCAGGTCCCCGGGGCGATGCACCCCAGTGTTCCCCCACCCAGGAGCAAGTGCAGTGTCCTGGCTGCGTGAGGGATGGACTGCTCGTTCCTCCATCAGATCAGGAAAGGAAAGAACCGCCCGGCCGGTGTGGCCCAGTGGTTGAGCGTCAATCTATGAACCAGGAGGTCACGGTTCGATTCCCGGTCAGGGCACAGGCCCGGGTTGTACCCTCGATCCCCAGGAGGGGGCGTGCAGGAGGCGGCTGAGCCATGATTCTCTCTCATCACTGATGTTCCTCTCCCTCTCCCTCTCCCTTCCTCTCTGAAATCAATAAAAAAGATAAAAAATAAAAGTCAGATGATTATTGACTTTGAGCATCGGGAGGCAACCAGTCCACGTGTCTGTCTCACATCAATGTTTCCCTCTCTCGGTCTCTCCCCCGCCCTCCCTGCCACTCTCTCTAACGATCCATGGAAACAAGAAATGTCCCCAGGGGAAGGATTAACAACAACAAAGACATAAAAACCGAATGTGCCAACTGCGGTCGTGTCTTGCCGCTTTCATGATGTGGCCCAGCGCGGGCTCTGACTACCCCGTGGGCACCGCGGTCCCGACGGCAGCGGTGACTGGCAGACAATGGGGGGAGGGGGGAGAGGCC